TATTCTCTGTTCCTAGAAAATAAATAGAAATTCCACTGCACTATAAAACATTTAATGTCTTTCAGTGTGGAGCACAGAAAAGATAGAACTAACCTGTATTCATCATACACGTAATGGCATAACATATGGTCTTGGCTTAAACGTTACAGTTTGGAATTTTGATGTTTTTATAAATATTTATTAAGAAAGTTGTTGGTCATAAATCTCAAATATTTGCGGTCACTATAAAGATCTGAAAATTGAATTTGTGGACTAGACCACATTTCCTACCTCCTCAATTCCATTGGTCCTGTAAGCTCATAAATGGATGTACCTTAGAGCAGGATGTCAAAACTTGCCCATAAAACAGAACACCTGAGAGAGCTTTCACAAAATGTTTTCCCTCCTTCCACTTCTTTGTATTATTTCACATATGGAAATAATTTCTCTTTGACTTCTCTGTTCTTTTATTTTTATTAGACATGTAGAACTAGGCATGCTCTAAAGGCAAAAAATGCTGTCCAATAAATTATAAACATTTTTTACAAAAGCTGTGTAAGACTGCATTCCAAGGTTTTCCAGATTTGGAACTCAATTGCTCTGCAATTAAAAATTAAATTTAAAGAAATTAATAGATTTATTTCAAGATTTGTATTTCTCAATTTCTATGTGTAGGTGTCTGCTAGTAACAGTGTATTTTACTGTAACAAATCATTGGGAATCAACCTGGAGTGATAAAATGTAGCACCACTCTTCTTCTTCCAAGGTACCCAGTGAACCTGTTCTTAGTGTTTCCTGTCCATGACCTTGTATCAGTGGATGCTACAGCAATCATACACTTTACATATCTACACACATACAGGACTGTGTACCTGGAAAATTGCTTATCCTCTGGTAAGAGCAACACAATTTATGCTTTATGTATTTATCTGTACAGTTTCTTTTAGGGCTTGCATTGCCCAAGATTACTAAGAAACTGTGGAATAAATGCATTCATTCAGTATTGCATCAAACAACTGAATTAAACTTGAAGTTTTACCCTATATGGTCTGCACTATACAGGACTGTGTACCTGGAAAATTGCTTATCCTCTGGTAAGAGCAACACAATTTATGCTTTATGTATTTATCTGTACAGTTTCTTTTAGGGCTTGCATTGCCCAAGATTACTAAGAAACTGTGGAATAAATGCATTCATTCAGTATTGCATCAAACAACTGAATTAAACTTGAAGTTTTACCCTATATGGTCTGCACTATACTGAAAATTCATAACTGCAAAGTTTGAAAAGAATTGAAAATAAAAATACGAAAAGAATTTTAATAATTTGCATATTTGCTACATATTTATTATTTTGTTTACCTTACTGATAGCAAAATAACAAAGACAAGAATTTAAACCTGACAAAGCTGCAATGCAAAATGAAAATTAGGACCACAGCAGCTGCTGAGCTATTCCCAGCATCTGACTTTCACTCGGAACTATCTTCTGAGGCTCTAACTTGGTTGGTCTTGTCCTGCAGACTGGAACGCTCAACCACCTTTGAATTGCACGCTCAAAAATGGCAGCTGCTTATCTGTGTCTAGCAGAAGACAAGTTGATTCCTGTCCTCAACTGGAAGAGACTCTTTCATGCCCCTCTTATCCCAATCTTAATGCATTGTCCCATAGGCAGCAACTAAAAGTACAGCGACATAGTTCTGGTGAGCTCCTCAAGCAAGAAGGCTGAAGATGCTAAATGGGAAATCTGTTAAAAAACTTTAGTCTCAAAAATCTTATAAAACATATGTGGAGCCCAGTAAAAAATGAGTGATAGAGTATCTGGGGGCTGCTTCCTTTTTCATATTTTAGGATCCAGGGGAGCACTGGGATAATTTTACAATATCATAATAATTTTACAGGAATAAAAAGTAGTAGCCAAAAACCTATAGCTCTTTTAGTTTCATTTCTGTAAATAATCTCTTTACTAGTTTATTCTATTATTTATAGTAAATTTTATACAATGTCTTGAGACTTATGAATGCCTTATCCCCAAGGAGACATACTGCAGTGTACTTTAAAATGCCGCATATATTTGTAAACCCTTCTATAAAGGAAACACTAATTCTTGTGTTGAAGGAGAAATCCAGAAAAGGTTTGTTTTGTTTGTTCAAATTAATCTTCAGAATATTTTTTATGAATGATTATAAAAACATCACATTGAAATCCAGTGGGTTATAAAAGGTAATGATTCAGTGTAATTACAACTACATACATATTATTGTATTTCTGATATTGCTTAATAAGGATTTTTAGTGTTTAAGAATCTATCAAATAAGCTGTTAAATAACTTGATTTTGAAATCCCTGGACAAGTGAAAGCATTAGTCTCAGTGTCACAGCAAAACAAAAACGGTGAGAACCCTGCATTGTTTCCTAAGTAACAGTACAAAAAAAGAGATATTAAAAAACCACACATTAATTGTATTTCTGATATTGCTTAATAAGGATTTTTAGTGTTTAAGAATCTATCAAATAAGCTGTTAAATAACTTGATTTTGAAATCCCTGGACAAGTGAAAGCATTAGTCTCAGTGTCACAGCAAAACAAAAACGGTGAGAACCCTGCATTGTTTCCTAAGTAACAGTACAAAAAAAGAGATATTAAAAAACCACACATTAGTACTAGTGAAATAAGATGATTACCTCCTGTATTTCCGCTTAAATCATCTGCAAGGCCTCCATGTTGGGTTTCACGCAGAGCAATCAAAAAAGGAGAGAACCAATCTTTCTTCTGCACAATTCTGCTCAATAGCTCCCTTGCACCATCTCTGTTCCCACGATTGTCAGTAACAGTGTGGATCTGGTGAAAATAAGAAAAAAAACCAAACCCGATCCTGAGACAGACTTCGGAAATGGTTCAGGGAAGTTAGTAAGAATAGTATAGGTACAAAAGCATTTCCCTGTCATCATTAAAACATACTTGAAGATATAAAGTGGGCCTGCCACTCATCAGAAGAGACTTACTGCAATTTTGTCCAATCTCATGTTTGTTGAATATGGTTTTGGGTAGGATATATAAAACTTACGAGACCTGAAATTTAATTGGAGAGACTGGTAGTACTGGACAATGGTTATAATAATAACCACTATATAATAATAATTATTATTGTGGAATAACAATTGGTTTTCACACTGGTTTAGGGAATAGCCAACCTTGATTAAGGAGAAGTGATGTCATACAGCTTACCAGAGCTCAGACTTAATCTGTAACATGACCTCATATATAAAATGGAACATTTCCCTTCTTAAACTCTGGCTTCATCATCTCAATTCCCACTTAAAGACACAATAGCTAAGCCTCTAGAAAGTGGCTATTGCCCTCAAAGAAGCTATGGAAAAGTGTCCCAAGGCTGTCATGAGCAGAACTTGATGTGATCACATGAGGAACAAAATGACCATCCCAAAAGTAAAGCAGCCCAAGACAGGTGTTTAGTCCTCAAGGGCAATTTTCTCGAGGCTCGAGAATCACCCATCCTGATATGCAAGAAAATGGGCAGGCATAGCAGTGGGAACCTCTGACCGAGATTTGAAAACTAAAAGGAAGTGCATGGGAAGTGGGAGTAGGGAGAGGTAAACAAAAAGGAATATAGAAGCACATTAAGAAAGCCTAGGTATTGTTGGAGTTGAAACTGGCAGGACTGTGAAGGGTAATGAAGGGCTTAATGGAAATAGCAGCAGCAAAAAGATGACCCGGGGAAACATGTGGAGCTGTTACCAGAGAACAGAGCTGGCAATCTCCTAAAAGGCCCCTGCCTCTGTCTGCTGTGTTACCATGCTTGGCTCCCCATCCCTTAGGGTGCAGCTGGCCCTTAGTGCTACGTGACAGTCACCAGACAAAATTAGGTATATGACTGTCATTTAACTGAGATGGAGCATTAAGCTACTTAAAAAGTCGATGCAAAAGCTCAGAGTGCAAATATGATGTAGTTCCACCCTTATTTGCCAGTTTTCCCCTTATTGCTATGGCATGTATTATTTTAATTTCTTCTCCTAACGCTGTTTCAGGGTATCCATTTTTTTGGGTTCCAAATACGTTTCACACTGGTCCAGGCAAGTCATTCTTAGCCAAATGGAGTAAACACTGACAAATGTTTTCATCAAAGGTTAACATTTGCTCTTTCTTGTCAAACTGGTATTTCTGCTCAGTTTCACTGTCTAGTATGATACTCCTTAGTGAACCTATGGCAAAAAAAGGGGAGGGAAGGTCTTGCTTTATTTTAACTCAAGTATTCTCTAGGACTTTACAGGCCATCACTACCTCCCGGTATGGTTCAGGGGCCAGAATACACTTAATGATCTTCTGAGCCTGCCGTCTGTGGCAAAATGATAAGTAACAATAAAGCCAGCCATATTCCTTCCACTTAGACACTGGCTTAGTCTAACCCCCTGTTCATGGCATTTTTTTCCCCTGGTTCTTAGCTGTCATCCCACCTCCTGGTCCACTGCCAACAGCCTTCATTGGCTTACTTAGACCACCATTTCTCTTTTCCCCCAAGTTTGGGTACTCCCCTTTCGTTTTTGTACTCACAAGGCCACTTCTAGTTATGGCTTCCTATCTGCCCCACAGCTCCTGGGGGTGGCCAGTGTCTGTGGCACTGCCTGGCACCCGGCCTAGCAGGCGGGTGACTTACCCGATCCAGGTCCTCGTCCTGGAAGATGCCCATCTGCAGACACTTCTCAGCCACCTGCATGGTCTGCATTCTATCCACCAGTGTGCCGTGGAGCAGCTGCACCAAGTGCACGCAGAGGTCATGGTCCGCCTCCTCGGCCGCCGAGGGCAGCTGGCTGAGGCTGGGGTTCACGTAGCAGGCGGCCAGGCTGCAGCCACCGTGCTCCAGCGCCTGCAGGAACTCGTGGAACCAGCCGCACCCGCGGGGCCCCCGCTCGACGACCCGCAGCAGCTCCTCCGCCCCCTCCACCTCGCCCCGATTCAGCACGGCCGCCCGCACCTTCTCCCTGTCCCCAGCGCTCAGCGAGGGAAGCAGGTCCAGCACCGGCTGCACCCGGATGAACTGCTTCAGCCGCGGCCTGAAGCAGGAGATCAGGTAGAGGAAGCGCTCGTCTCGGGACTCCTCTGCCATGGCCGCGCTGGCGGCGCCCGGGACGCCGGGACGGGGGCACGGGAGGGGGGAGGGCGGGTGCCTGCAGGGGCGGCCGAGGGGCTCGGAGCCGGGGCCGGGACGGGACGCCCGGCGCCCGGAGGAAAGGGCACGGGTTGCTCCTACGGCACGGGCGGGCCTGCCGGGACGGGACGCCCGGCGCCCGGAGGAAAGGGCACGGCTCAGTGTTGCTCCTAACTATTTAAAAGGAACCCTTTAACGGGAACCATGAGTTTAAAGAAACAACCATAAACTGAAGTGTATCCTTCACTTTCCAGCTCATGAGTTTCTAGGGCCGGTCGCCAGCGTGGCAGGGTTTTCTGCACTTTCAGGGCTTTCCAGGCATGCACCGGCAGAGAAACGAGGCACTTTGGCAGTAGAAACCCCAGGTGACTGGAGTGGATTTGCAGGATGTGCCTTTTTGCAGAATACAGACACACAAAAGGCCATCAGGAAAGTAAAGCCGACTTGTGTATTGTAATGGTTTACTTTGGGTATGTCTTAAAGAGATTTTTTTTTGGTGCCCTTTTTTTTTTTAAGTTTGAAGAATTGCCCCTTGCATACAGAGCAGGAGGTTGTGATGCATGTGATAAACTTCCTAGAGGAGTTTGTTGGATAGTCTCTGAGATTGTTGGGACAGTCTCTCCCCGAGATGTGGTTTCACCCATATGGTAGATGTCACTGAGCTTCAGGAGGAGGCTTGGTTTCCATTGTGGGGTTGTAGGGAACCTCAGTGTGATTCCGAGGTAAGGCAACAGATCCTTGACTCAATTTCATGTTTTGTAGCAAAATGATAGAGTAAACAGAAAGCACCTGGATTACTGTGTTCAGTTTTGGTCCTGGACAGTTCAAGAGAGAGAGTGAAAAATTGGGAGGGTCCAGTGGAGGGCCAACACGATGCTTAACGTGATTGGAGGGTGTTTGAAGGAACTGGGTTTGTTCTGCCTAAAGAGCAGAAGGCTCAGGGGAGATCCAACCACAGTTTTCCAACTCCTAAAAGTTGGATCCCTCTTCACAGGGGTGCACAGGACAAGGGGCAATTGCAACACGTTTCTTCAGGGGAAATTCTGTCCAGGTATAAGAAAAAATATTCTCCACTGTAAAAACAATTAGTGGAATATATTGCCCAGAGAAGTAGTGGGAGTTTCCTCAATAGAAATATTCAAGCCTTGGCTTGACAAGGCCCTTGATTTAATGCCTTGCTTTTAAAAGCACAGGTGTCTCCAGAGGTCCTTTCCCAGCCTAGTATTTCCTGTAATTCACATTGTGCCCTCAGCTGCTTATCATGCTGAGACGTGCTACAGCATTCTGCTTTCAGTTGAGCTTCCTTCAGCTGGAGGCTTCTTTTGTAAAACTCGTTTTACTTTCATTTCATTGTTGTCCTTTCTGCTTATCTCACGTTTCACTCTTATTTTGTCATTACTTTTTTATTACTGCTTTATGCAAGTTTCCTTTGAAAGATTGCCGAAGAGTCCCACGGTTTCCCCCCCCCCCCCCCCTCCAGCACTTTTTCTTGTCTTCAGCACCTTATTTGGATGACATGTCAGTCTTTCTTGTAAGGCCTCAGGAGCCTGCAGGAGTTACTCGGGTGCAGTGTGTGTAGATCGGTTGTTTGTACGTTTGCTTTGTTTCCCAAGTTGTGTATGTAGCAGTGGTAAAGCAGGCCCAGTGTATTTATACCACAACAATCCTTTACAGGTTCTAAGAGTTTGCAGACATTAAAAGGACACTTGTGACTTATAGAGGAGGGAAAAAAATCAATAACCACCAATACGTGGTTATTCTGGCTACTGCTAAGTTGCACAGATGATGCCTGAGCTCCTACTCTGTCCATTGATGATGCACGTATCCTGACTCTATTGCTCTCCTCTAGCTGGATGCTTACACTCCTCGTAAACTCAGTGATTTTTTGAGGCCTTTGTCCCTTTCAGATGTGGCTGAAATTAGTCACAGGGTTCATAAGCAGGGGCAGGGCTGGAGCACAAGGCCTCTCCCACTGGGCGGCTAGGCAGAGAAGCTGTGCACCGCCCGCTCCCGGCCCGGCCACATACACACCACCTCCCTTCCCCGCACGGTGAAAGTCCACGCGTACAGCTGGGCAGACGGCTCAGACGCAAAGGCTGAAGGACACGCAAAAACAACACAGGGACTTCAACACCCCCAGGAGGTACAATTAGAGTTTGCGTGTCCCAGAAGGAAGCTGCCCGCCGCTGGAGGTGCCCGAGGCGATGGAAGCGCCTGAGGCAGCGCAGCGGAAACGCCCCAGTGGCCACGCGCACGCGCC